TATGCGTTAGTCACCTCATCTGAGCCCAAGGCCAGTAGTGCAGTGAGCATGTAAAATTGCAAAATCTTACGAGTATAATAGCCAATATCAGTTAAATTTATTACCGTTTATTATATGCAGTACTACGATCAAGACCTATATCTGCGAAATAGTTGCGGGTTGTGCACAACGGGAGTCAATTTCTTAAAGGTTGCACATATAGAAAACTGCCCCCTATGGATCTTTTGCTACAAAAATTACATTTTTTAAAGGCTGGGGTCAATTTCGACGTCTGAAATTTCTCTACGGTGGTCATTATAATTCGTCTTTACACCGGCAGAACGAAATGCAAAATTATTCTGTATTTTATAGATTCAATAAAAAAAAGGTCCAAAAATCCAAATGGGAAAAATCCAAACCCATGATTGCTTGTACAATTTATTGTATGTATACATGTAGTATAAACCATATGATAAACCTCTTACTATAAAAATACACAGGTAGGGGTTAAACACATAAATAAAAGCCAACTTTAGAAACTAAATATAGCTACAAGTATATATTTCTTGATCTCTCACTTGCAACGCGCGTTAAGAATCAACGAACTTTTATCTTAAACATCTTCTTCAGAGGGAACACTTGGACATCAATTTATTATTTATTTAATGAAATGCACAAGCCTATATTTACTTGTTATCGAAGCATGAGAAGATGAAACTACCATAAACCCTGCAACATAATTCATGTTAAAATGATATTGTAATTGTTTGTTAATGAAAATAGACTTATCTCTATGCCTTGTACATTATAAAAGGAACCAATAATTTTGCCAAAATATACTATAAATAGAAAACAAAGCTAATTTACGGTCGTTTCCCTAAATAACAAGGTGTAGTGTCTTTTTATGCATGTCAAGGAATTTCCGTTCGATGTTTAGTTTTAGCCCCCACTACATCCTTCACCCCCAATTGTAATTGCTTCCTAAGGGTCTGTATTACATTTGTTTCTCCTTCTTTAATATCTCTCTAAAAACTTATTTAACTCCATTTTTCAGCAGTGATTTGAAAAAAAATACTACAATCCCAGAATGACCCGGATTGATACGTAAAAATCCAGTAATTAATGAATCATGCACTATTTAAGGCAGATTGAAAAAAAGTTCAAATTTGCTATGGAATAAAATAATTACCTATAAATACTCTTTTTCATTATCAAAGACACTTATTATCACAGGCACTTGTTTCGGTAATAAATTTTTAACCCATAGTATAATAATAACACAAGGTATCCAACTCCAAATTACATGGAGTACCCCCCTCCCACAGAATCGCACTCATTTACACTTTCAGAGGAAACGCACTGGCAAAATGTTTATACCTTTGTCTTCTACGATAATTTATCTACACAACCATATATGACATGCTTGTCTTTATTTTCTTTTATCTCCGTAAGCAGCGTCAAAACTCTGCTCGCCGAAAGGAAAAGTCGAATTCAACCATGAAATGGTATGTGCTAATCCCGGGCAGAGATTTAGATTGGCTAAAAATCTGTTTCGAACATTACATCGGATAACATCGTAATGTTTCCAGGGAAAATCAGACATAAACAAATTCTATTTATTCACTGCAATATTAAACACTGGAACTGAATTTTTAAACCCACTCATTTTTTAATTTTGTTCTCTGCTCGGGATTAGCACATACCATTTCATGGTTGAATTCGACTTTTCCACTCGGCGAGCAGAGTTTTGACGCTATTTACGGAGATTAAAGAAAATAAAGACAGGCATGTCATATATGGTTGTGTAGATAAATTATCATAGAAGACATAGGTATAAACAGTTTGTCAGTGTATTTCCTCTGAAAGTGTAAATGAGTGCGATTCTGTGGGAGGGGGGTACTCCATGTAATTTGGAGTTGGATACCTTGTGTTATTATTATACTATGGGTTAAAAATTTATTACCGAAACAAGTGCCTGTGCTTATTATGCATTAAATGTTCGATAAAAAGACGACTGGACTGCCTGACTCCTTTTTTGAACCCATTAAGTACAGACAACGTATAATGCAGTTGACCGACTTTCGCGTGGGAGAGAAGTGAACTTGGTTACTTCCTTTGATGTGGTAACAATGGGACGAAGTATTTAAACTTCCAGACATGAAAATCGTCAACACGTCACGAACAGTGAAATCCTTATGATCTTATGCAAAAAGCTCTAAAATATGGGCACAGCCCTTGATAAAAAAATCTGTTTTATAATCTTAAAAAAAAACAGTTCTGTTATTACATTAAAGCATATTTTGTATCAGAGGTTGTGCTCTATACGAAATATTGAAATTTTGGTCATTTTTGGGGAAATTTTCAGGATATGGGAATAAATGGCGCAATACATGACGTTGTATGCATTGGCTAGCGAGAAAATGCGTCATTTTCAATAGATATGCTGTCTCCATGGTTCCAAATGATATTTAATGCACTGTCAACTAAAACTTAGCAGTTTTGATTTTTTAGAAATTCACAGGGCCAAAAGAGGCCCTAAATGAACTTGCTCTTTGCAAAAATACACGAATACCATAACTTTTATAAAGGCGGTCATAATTCAACGTAAAAGTACGTTGCTGTTGAAGCCCAGAAAAAAATATACATTGTTCGGATGAATGAGATAGTTGTTCTGACAAATAAGATAACTGTTCTGAGAAATTTTTTCTTCGTTCGGACAAACAAGATGTTTATGTGGACAAATGATTTCTACCTCCGGACGAATTAAATATACTTGTACGATAGAGGAATTAGATTAAATCATTTCTTCCGGAATTGTTCGGACGAACGGGATATTTCCTAGCGAATTACATATTTGTTCGAACAGATCTAATGTTTCTTCTGTATCAATCCTTTGATAAGGGAGAGCATCCTGAAAACCAAAGATTATCATAGTATATGTACAAAGCACAGGGATAAAGTGAACGTTGGAGACGTATGGTGGCATATTTCTGCCCCTGCAAGATAAATTATGTTAACATGCGAGAAAAGTATGTCAGCATGCAAGATAATTATGTCTACATACGTAATAATTATGTTGACATGCAAGTTATCAATCTTTTCAAGAATCTAATTTTAATGTTGGTAAACTAACTTACTAACGCCAGTATACGACATCATACAAGCAAGATGCAACATAATTAAGTTGACATGCAACTTATTTATGTTAACTTGCAAGATACATGTAATTATGTCAACATGTGAGTTATTTATGTTAACATACAACATGATTATGTAGACATGCGACTTATTTATGTCAACATGCAATATAATAATGTTAACATGCAACTTATTTATGCAAACATGCCACTTATTTATGTCAACATGCAACTTATTTATGCTAACATGCGACTTATTTTTGAAAACATATGAGCTGTATTTTAACATGCAAGATATTTATGGCAACATGCTAGATAATAAGTTGCATGTCATCATACATATCTCGCCTGTTGACATAATTAACTCGCATGTTAACATAATTATCTTACAAGTTGACATATATAAGTCGCATGTGTACATAATTATCTAGCATGTCAACATATATAAGTCGTATGTCAACATAATCCTTTTGCATCTTGCTTGTATGATGTCATATATTGGCGTCGGTAAGTAAGTTTAGCAACATCTTTAGATTCTCTCAAGATGTTGGTAACGTGTAAGTCAACATCATTATTTTGCATGTTAACATAAATAAGTTGCATGTCTACATAATTATGCTGCATGTTAACATAATTTATCTTGCATGTAGGAGGCAGAAATATGCCACCATAGACACGATATCTGATCAAGTTTTAATTTATTGACTCCATTCCTCTGCGGTTTCTGGGGTTTCTTGGAAGTTTTACTTGCAGTTTAGTTTTGTTTGCCATATACACTGTACAGTAAATAAATGCTAGTTCTTTCAGTTTTAATAAAAATGTACCAAAAAAGTCTCTAAAACGTCATGTAATTCTTCTTAATCAAATTGTTAGATCTTTTGCTATACGTCCAAAAATTACATGAATGTTAATGTACGCATTTTTAATCATTGACCCGAAAATACTAAATCGCAATTTGATTAATCGGTAGATAGACATTAAAATCAGTTCTCTCTCTCTCTCTCTCTCTCTCTCTCTCTCTCTCTCTCTCTGGAATATATAAATGAATTTTTAAAAAATCTTTAAAACAACATGATATATTTGTCAAATCAACATGGAAGCATTTCCACCTAGTGTAGATTGAAGACGATTAAGTTCTCAATTTATCATTAAAAAGCAGGTCATTTTATTCGAAAGAAGATTTAATGAGACCAACATATCGCTATATTCTTAATTTACCTCAGTTGAGCATTTGGCTCACGGGATTGAATTATTATTCTTCAACGTTTCAACCAAAATGAAAAAGAAAAATATATAAAGCTAAAAAGGGGCGTTATTCTTTGGGGATAATTTTTTTATGTAGGATATGTAGATTTTAAGGGTGATGTCAACTTTCTACCGGCAAAATGGTCATTTCTCAACGTCAAATAATGACCGGGGGTCATTTTTCGACGTTCAATAATGATCGGGAGTCATTTTCCGGCGAAAATTTATTCCTCTTTATTCCTCTTTACACCAGAACCGAATATCTTTTATGCAATATGCAGTAGCTTTTACAAAGCAATACAAAGGATGCTTGTTTTATTAAAACAATCATGTGATTATAGAAATATAAACAAATCTAGAAACTTGCAAGCAATAGCGTATGTCACCACGAACTGAGCAACCATTGTAACTGAGGATATTTTAAAAGTTGTATGCACAACTTTTAATTGCTTTTAGTTGTCCTATTTAATTACAACAAATATAAGACAAAACTTTTACAAATAATATAATCAATAACAGATGATTTTGTTTGAATTTTGTTGCAACATATCAAATGAATATGACCCATTGGTATAGCTACTATTTTGTTGTTTTAAATCATATAAATTAATACTCCAACTCTCTCTTTACAAAATTTAGTTGTGAGTATCAAAGAAATACACCTGGAATGCCGTTTGATCCACTTTCAAGTACAGCCAAAGTATCAATAAAAATAAAAGATAAGTGTGTATCTCGCTCTGCCTTGGTGTACAACTTAGCAAGAATCCTGGGATTACCAGATGAACACACTCGAGACGACAGAGACAACTATATCAACATACACTGGAATAATATTGAAAGTTTGTTACATTTGAATACATGTGTAACAGTTTATATGATTGAACCCAGTGCGTAGGTTCTTCAAAAGCCACCATGACGCATATGAAAAAAATATGCACTAAACATAATAATGTCTTTATTACCTTTGTAAAAGAATTGTAGAATCTATGCACTCAGAGTTCAAATTTTCGTAAACATCAACCTTAATTATAACTGATTTCTTTGACTCACATAAACATTTGTATGATCCTTACAAAAAAACTGATGCCATAGATCTACTGATCAAAGACTAGAAGAGCGTTTGTTTGGTTTTTTTAAATTGGTTTCTATGCCATTTTTCAAAACGCTGCTCTACTACTCCTAAAAACTGTAAATGTTTTCATTAGAATTCAATTCAAAATTGGTATACAAATATACTATTTGACAATACATAATTAATTTTAACAGCTTAACGTTGAATGGTGTTGAAGTGCTATTAAAAATTATGTAATGTTTCAAAACGCTTCTCCTTTAATAGTTTTGGCCTGATTTTATAAAATTAAATTTAGTATACATGTACAAGTTAAATTCCAAGATACAAAATTCTGTATATTGATTTTTGATGCCGATGAAAGTTTTTTCAGTAGTTACTAAAAAAATTCTGTGAGATATTTATTAAAAAATATTTATTTATACCGCCTTCAAATTTTAAAATACTTGATAACACAAGTAAACTACACAAAGATTAACAATTCTATACATGGCCGTAGGAACCGGGGGGGGGGGGGGGGGGTCCCCAATAGTTTTGCCAATATATAGTCTACTATAGAAAACCTAGCTATTATATGTTCGTGCCCCCTCAACAAAAACGCCTGATGACCTTTTTTTTATTATTTTTTTTTTATTTTATTTTATTATTATTATTATTATTTTTTTTTTGTTGGCTTGTCAAGGAATTTTTGGTAGTTGATAGTGCCCCCTCAACTGAAAATGTATAGCTGTGCCCCTCAAACTGAAATTGCTTCCTACGGGCCTGCTATTTATCAGATTTTAATTTTTATGTACGGTGTTGGCTTGGTCAATAAATGTAGAAAAAAGAGAGAAATTCTTTCAAAATATAACTCCGGTTTTTGCTTTGATTTAAATGAAAATTGGTACGCGTTTAGAAAGCATCAAGACACACCATTCTCTAAATGTAAAACTAAAAGTAAGAAACCAGTAGAGCAACTTATTGTTACCTCTGCATGAATCAAATAAGGAATATGTAACATGATAAAGTTTTGATTAAAATTTCTTTATTATTATTATTTAAATTATAAATCAAATTACTGAAGCAATAAAATCCATGATACATATATGTAATAAGACAATGACTACACCTTACCAATAAGACGAAAAGTTGTATGTTTTAGCGGAGGCAATCAATAGAAAAATTTACAATGAATCATCATCAAAAATTGGAGACATGCCTTATGATTTTACCTCTGTTACTCACGTTGGTCCATTCGAACACGCTCTGGATACACGAAAACCAACATTATCATCAAAATATGAGGGAGTGCATTTTGGTGATCATTTGAACCTCAGTGTTATTGACGTCATAAAAATAAGGCAGATGTACAACTGCCCAACAGGTTAGCATTGTGATTCTTCTCTCATATCGATTGTACTGACGTGCCGAGAGATTAAGTCATAATACAATGTTGTGATGAACATGAATGGTAACGAAAACTACTGTTATTTTCTTTCTTCAGATATAAATCTTCAGTCATCGATGGGTAAGTAACAATAATATAATCAATCAAAAATACAAAAGTTTGGCCAAGTGTTGCGATAATACATAGCATACCAACATTATTTTGCATATTTTAAGATTTATAAAAATGGTAAGTTTTCAGTAAAATTTTCAGAAACAACCCACAAATTATAAAGTTTATAGCCTGTTTTGTAATTTCTTTTTCATGATAGTTAAAAAAAACAATTAAAGCATTGTTGGGAGAAACACATCAAATAGATACAATATTTATTATTATATCTCATTATAATTATTCTGTACAACAAGTTATCTGATTGGTTCTAGACAATCACGTGACAGAGCCATAAAACTTTTCTGTCGTTCTCATGCTTTTCATCATATTCAACCTCTTCTGAGACCTCGTGCATTTTCCTGAAATACTTTGCGTTCATTGAACGAAAACTTCCGAGAGAAGCAGACGACACGAAATTTACAACTATAGTAGAAAGGTTTCATCTACTAAGCAGTGACGATATAAACGATCTTCTTTTCAATAAGGATGGTTTAAAAAATTAAAGAATTCAATTGATTGATTGATTGTATGTTGTTTTACTTCCAATTAGAGAATTTTTTACTCATATAGAAACGTCACCATATACCGGTGAAGGGCTTCAAATTTTGACCTTTACTCACTACTCAGCACTCAGGGCCATTAAACAGTGAGGGTTCTTTACGTGCCAACGTCTGCCATGACACGGGGCCTCGGTTTTTAATGTCTCATCCGAAGGACCCGCAACTTTCACTTCAAAGTGCCGAGCGCAAGGAACAGTTGCTGCCCATTTTTTTATCGACTTAGGTCAGTGGCGGCCGAGATTCGAACTCACACCTCCCGATCACTGAGCGAGCTCTCTACCGACTGAGCTACCGTGAACGGAGAAAGAAATGAAAGACAATTGTCTATGAAGTGTCCAAGGGATTTCAAGTAAAGTATTTAAGTAATTTTTTTTAAACTGAATGCGAATTTGAGAGTTGTGTCGACTTGGAAGTTTCTGGGGGAGTTTTTTGGTTTTTATTTTTGTTTGTTTTTTTTTTTTAAAGACTTTGCTTGTTTCGGAATAATAAACAATGTATTGCTTGAATGTTTGGGAACTATGAAGATTTATTCAGTCAAGAAAAATCAAATTTCCATCGGGCGAAGACCCCGGGGAATGTAATTTTTGGGGGTTGAATAAATCTTCATATTTCCTTCACGATCATGCAATAAATGTATAATATTTAAAACCAAAAGATAAACAATGTAAATAAAAGCGTCAAGAATAAGGTTTTTATAACCTTGATGATCAAGTTTTTAATTTCTCTGTCATAAATTATAAAAGATGTACATTCAAATTTTTGACTTATTTCGAATATTACTCCATGCAATTACTTCCAGCAGCTTATCGCCCTATACACTGTACATTTGATCTCCCCCTTTGTGGTCTTGTGAACGACTGGACATCACCTGGAATTCAATGGACAAAGAAAAAAGGACCAGTATCGGAGGAAGGACCACAAACTGACCACACGAATGGAGATGGTCTGTCAATATTCCGGTTGAATCTGTATATGGAATATGTCTCACAAAATTATTTATTGATTGATTGTATGTTGTTTTACGTCCCATTCAAGAATTTTTCACTCATATAGAGACGTCACCATATACATGTACCAGTAAAGGGCTTCAAATTTACACCTTTACTCGGCACTCAGAGCCATTGAGCAGTGAGGGATCTTTATCGTGCCAACGCCTGCCGTGACACGGGGCCTCGGTTTTTAAGGTCTCACTGACTGAGCAAAATTATTTACTAATAGCCTCTAGAAAATCTCTCTCTCTCTCTCTCTCTCTCTCTCTCTCTCTCTCTCTCTCTCTCAGACTAAGTGTTCATTTTTACTAGTAAATGTGTTTTTGATTTATCACTGAAAATTGCACATTCCTTAAAAAGATAGCAATTGGGACATATAAATAAAACAATTCTCATATATATTTTTTCATCAGTATTTTCAACTACATGTAGTAGTATTGTAAACTGACGGTGTGGATTATACAATTTCTTTTGTCAATTGTAAGAGTTCAGGCAAAATATTTTTTCCCATAATTATATTATTATCTTATATTTTCATCTAAGGGTGGTACATGTTTGCCAATGAAACAGAATCCTTCAACACGGCACGCTTGGTCAGCATCACCGAGGTTTCCCCCGGGGACGTATGTGTATCCCTGTATTACTATTTGGAAAATAACTCTACCACAGTCAAGATATTCCAGAAAGAATCAGTTAGGAACACAGTCAAACAGATTAGAGAAATAAACCGTAACAAAGAAATATCCTGGTCGGTATTCAGGTTTAGTGTTACCTCACCCAATACATGGCGAGTGAGTATAACCTGTAATATCAATTTAAACGTCAGCTTTTTTTTAAACAAACGTTTAATAAGTATATTGAAAACATTTTTATCTTCAGAAGCTACAACATTTCTGCTTTGTGCAAGGATAGAAAAATTGTCAACTGACGCCATGAACTATTGTTAATTGTGACATTATCTCGAAAGGAAATAATCCTAGCTGTAGAGGAAGAAGTTGCTAAAGAAAAAAAAAATCTTTGTAAATGTCGAATGATAAAATTATGACAAACAACTCGAAAAAGGAATAAATGTTTTACATTTTTGATAGTGGAAAAAAAACTCGTAGTACTTTACCTGTAATCCTATGTGTGCATTTAATTTAATAAAAATGATATTTTGATTCTGTAAACTGATAAGTAAAGAACTTTAGGAAGACTTTATTTCTTTTCAGCTTTTGATAGAAGCTGATGTGACAAATGGCGCAGTAGCAGTTGATGATGTTATGGTGCAGTATGGAAGATGTCCATCTTTAAATGAATGCAATAATCACTGAACTGTTCCTACAATGTAGCAATTGAAAACATTTTTAAAAAATTCATTTCAAAACAAACGAAACACGCTTTTATACATATCTTACGATATGCCACATGATCATTTTTCCAATTTAAGGAAAGATTAAACATATTTTTAAAAAGGAAAAAAGTCTTTTTTAGAAAAAAAGTTCATTTGACCTAATTATTTCAAGAAGTTCTATACTTTTGAGAGAATACTAGTATGTAACAAGGTATTAATCTATGACTGAATCATTTTGACTAGTCTTTTCAAATGTATTTAATGATAAAGAAATCTTTGTTTACTAACCGTTAATTCCTACACTGTTACAACACCCATTCTTTGTACAGATCAACAGTGTAAAAAGAGGGATAATAAATTACTGCAATAATCTAATGCAGATGAAGTTATTTTTGTTTGGTCGCTGAAAATTTTCAACCACCTTTGAAAATTGTATTATCTCCTAGAAACCCTCAAAAACTCCATTTATCGACTGTGTAATTTCCTTGATGAAAAAAAAATCGATTACACTCTTTGGAAGGTTAATTAAATTTGATTCTGTGTATGGAGGTGTTAAATATTTACATGCACGCACTTCTCCATTTTTCTCTCTAGGATTCACATTTACTTTTTGGCAGGTAATTTCACATTTTAGCGACTATTCTTTATTGAAATTAATGGTATTTAGTGGATATACTAATGGGAAAAGTGAAGAGAAGAGACAGTAATATATTTAATAAAAACTTGAAAACAAAAAACACAAATACGTGAACAGGACATAAAACGCAGACCCCTGGAAATTCCAGTGGTGGGATCAGGTGCCTATGAAGAGTCAGTATATCCGGTCACATCCGCTGTGAGTTCTATGTATTGACGGAATTTTCCGTAGTCAAATTTAGTTTACAAACAAAGGTCTAACATGTCGGTCAAAATACGACCTAAGGATAAGTTATATTTGCTAAAATGGTTAGTTTACTTACCATAGGAATTTACGAAATGTTGACTTTAAATGAGGTTGTTGAAATCCTGTAACATCAACAAGAGTTACAACAAGATCTTCAAGTGATAATCTGATTTAAGCCCTCATTTTCCTTTCTGAGGAGGAAATTCCTTAAAATCATGTTGTAGTTTTGAAAACTTTTAATACTCCCTATAATGAATTGAATTTAATTACTATACCTATACTGGATTCCTAAGCTACAAAAATCCTAACAAAGATACATTATCTAGTAAATGTTCTATCAAGCCTCTTTCTTTACTCCTCACTAAAATATTAATAGCAGTGAAGGAGAAACTTCAGGAGTAGTGTACAACAGTATATTCGAGAAGTGGTATTAATCAGATATTCATCTTCACAATGTTAACGTTTTGCAACATCGTACCTCTTCACAAACCCTTTACAAAAGTCGCTATTTAAAAGTCGGCCTACTGTTTTATTTGTTCCCGGTCTGGGACTGGAACCAATCAGAACATTTAACCTTTATTGTACGTTAGTTTTGTTTACAAATATGACTTGTTTTTTAAAATGGAAAGCGCTTATATTATGGGATTTATTACTAGTTACCTCAAATAAATTATCGGAGACTAAATTTTAGGAACAATCACAAAAGATATGTTGTGGCTTTGAAAACGATGGATTTGAAAGATATACTAGTATTCTCATTGGTTGGTTTATAATCAATCTTATGTCCTGTGTAATCACAAGCCCAACTTTTAAATAGTGAATTTTGTCAAGGGTATGTGAAAAGGAACGATATTACAAAACCTTGACATTGTGAAGATGATAGATACTGAGATTACCGGATATACTCGCCTATAAGTCGGTCCGCCTCTAAGTCGGTTGTAATATTTGAGGTTATTTTGGAGGGATTTGCAATTGACCCGCATATACAACTTTTGCAAGAACCGGCTGACAATTTCAAGTCAATGTTTTAATGATGTTTTAACCTGGTTTAAGTAATTTTTTTAAGAAATGACGCCAATATTTAATCTTAAATCATTAAAAAAAAATAAGTAACGCACACTTAAGATAAAAAATTAAATTATTGAAATATGTAAATACTTGTACTTCATGCATAATCTTAGAATACAAAAGTGATTTAATATATCTAGACTTTATTCAACGATAATCGTCGGACAGGTTTATAAAATAATAATATTTCCGTTCAAAATATTTTTTTATGACTCGCCTATAAGTCGGAGATAGAGTTTTGGACCAAAATTCAACTCCCAAAAATCCGACTTAAATTCGAGTATATACGGTACTAAAAGAATCTTTTTGAAAATTTGAAATTACAAAATTTTGCCAAAATCAAAAGCTTCAAAACGTATGACCTTTCAACAGTGTATACGAATAACCCCCACTATAAATTAAATTCAGGCTTTTTGACATCGTAGACAACTGCTTTTTCAAAAAAAAAATGGAATTCATAAATTTACATATCTTGTAATTAGTAATCTGCAAATTTAATTTGTTGAAAAACATTCTGATTGTACACGCAAGTACTCGGAAGCTAATATCAAAAAGATGCTTGAGTTTCTGATTGTCAATATCTATGTAGTTTTTGGAGATGAAGTCTTCAAACAATCTGTTGGAATTCCCATGCGCCTAGTTGCACCCTAGTATTAGCACACCTATTTGTGTATGCATATGAAGCAGAATTTATTCGAAAACTTCAGAATGAAAAGAAAACTCTTGCTGTGGCCTATAATTCGACATTTAGATACACTACACTGTCTATCGATGACACCTTATCAATTAACAATTTATTCCTTTTCATTCCTACGTTCGTTCAATATCCTTTGAAGTCGAAGTTAAAGACACCGTAGAGTCTGACATGTTTGTTATAAATTGGATATTTTACTAGAGAAAGACATTAATACCAAATTAACAACAAAACTTTATGACTGATGAGATGACTTAAACTTTTCTATATCATCAATTAACATCCCCTATTCCATTATCACCTGCATATGGAGTTTGTGTTTCCCAGTTGATTCGATACACAGGAGCATAATTTACATACAAAATTCTCGCGAATAAAAAGTGATTTACAGTAGAATAATTTAGGAGACCTAAACACCATATGCAGATGAAAGCGGAATATTACTACATTAATAACCTCAATAAAATGAAGTCATCATATCTGTCATACAATTTAGTTGTTAGTTAGTCCTAATTGTCTATAGTCAGTAAAACATCCAAACATGAAACAGATGTGTCAAACTCTGTCTATAAAAAAAGAAGAGAACTTTCAATTTCAAGAAAGTTTAATGTAATTTAATGTAGACCTTTAAGATTTTTGGCCAGGTAACAGCTTCATGATGATGACCTTTAAAGCTGAACACCATTCGTAAAAGGAAGAAAGTTATCTTTGTCCGCCGTATTAGTCTTCTCAAGACTTTCATTTTTCAACCGCCATATAAGCCTCAGCTTTGTTCAGAGTTCAATGTATTTCGCTTTACGGAGTTTACCTGAACAGACGTCTCTTTCATTTTCATTACGGTAGACGGGTGCGACAAAAATGACATCTGTGTGCCTCCGCCACGACACGAACAATTGGTTATCAAAGATATTCGATATCAGTTGCACTGATCAATGCATTACAAAGTGAAATGAACACAAATGCTTACTCCGTGACATAAGATGTAAAAAAAAGATAATTAAGATATTCATGTACTGCATGCAGCAGCGACCAGGTAAAAGCACGTAAAAGCAGTATGGCACGCGGAGGGGGCATATTGTTTTGATATGTGGGGGTAGGTCACGTGGAGGGGGCACATTAACAATAATGTTGTTAGGCAGCATAATATACTATCATTGCACAATTTATCAGGTTCAATTTGCTTTGCTTTGCCACTAGTATATATACCCTGTACAAGCATCTCTGTTTAGACCACAATTGACCATGGATGCTGCTGCACCAATACCTCCTCGCCCTCTGCTGGGTTTGCTGAATCTCCAAGCATAACTCAAAGAACTCCAGCAAAATCATATGGGCGTGCTGGCGTTACTTATTCGTCGTCAAATAAGATATGAAAGACAAAGAAGACGTTGGTGGGTCAAGCCATGGATTGAGAGGCGCATGTTATTTGGCCAGCATTACACACTGATGACGGAGATAGAGAGAGAATACCAGGGGCACTTTGTGAACTAATAGTCTACATGAGAATGCCGCCAGCCATGTTCTACGAGCTACTTCAGCGCATTACTCCAAGAATCCAGAAAAGTGAACGTTGCAGACAGGCACTAGAACCTGGGCTGTTGCTGGCCTTTCAACTATGTCAACTGAAGGGCGTCGGAAACGGGCGGTATATATACCCCCTCTGGAACGCATGATCGCACGACCGCCGCACGTCCAGTCGCATTGGGGCACGTTCAATCGTTCGATCACCTGATCACTCGCGCGATCCTATCGCATTATCTTACAACACTCTTTCAATGTACAACAGTCGCATATAGACGCAATTAAGATACATCGCAAGAAATAATGCGTTTGCATTTCACAACGGTCGCTTTAGATCGTGTGAATTTCCTACGCATACTTTTTTTCATTTGCGATTATTTCGGCAACATTTTACGATCCAAATCAAAATTTTTCGGTCGCACAAATATTTTGTCGCTTCTGCTCGTGCGCCAATTGTGAAAGGGCCTTAATACAGTATTCTTCTCGACCAATGAAATTTCAAGATTAGGATAGATCTTCAATTCCTTTGGGCGGTATATGAAGCAAGACATCATTAACCAAGAGACTCACGTTGATCAATTCCATGCTAATGGTAAAGCAAAAAAAAAATATCAAATAGCATAAATCTTTCATTCCGAAATTTCATTTTATTCTGTATTTGCTAAATCTTATTGATAGATTGGCTAAAATGTTAAATTTTTGTATCGATATATAGAGTATGGAAAAAAAAACTCTTAAAACTTTTATTCAAAACGTTGTCGTATGGTCATTTTTTTTCATAGAATAACATTAAGCAGTAGCGGTCAAATAAAGTGTATTACCTGAAAATGTTTGAAGATGCAATGCTTATAGTTTGCATAAAAGGAACAAGAACTTGCAAATAACAATTGTGCTATTCATAGAGTGGCCAAAAAGAAGAGAAAATTGCATTGATATATAGAAAGGATTTTATTTTATGATTATATTCAACGATTAGAATGCCGAAATTGTATTCTATTCAAATTTGGAAAATCTAAGCCTTTAATGTATATATCCCTCATTTGTTGGCTATGGTACGCAAACAAAAGAAATCTCTTCGAGTTCCAGCATTCAGCAGTGATTTCAAGTAGGTCAAAGTGCATCTTATTCATATTTAATTTCTTATTTGCTGATCACCAGCTGATAATGTGATTCTGGGATCAAATCAACTGTTTTCTTTCTCATTCATGTTTACAATCATTGTGTTTACAAAGATAAAATAAATATTGATTGTCTTAAGTAGCTTTGAACATCAATGGCTGCAATGTTTAAAGTACGAAACCATATGATTAGTTATTCGGCGTAACGGATTTCTATCTTCCTTAGTGTGCAATAATTATATTTGCCAAGCTTTTAAACCGTCGATGTAAAGACATTAATGGTAAATCTATTACATATCAACCTTTGTATAATAAAAATTATGCAAAGATGCTGATGGAAAGAATGCAAAATTACATAAAGATAGTCCGTAAGATTCCATATATATCTTATAAATTTTCCTTCTTTTTTAAAGTTACAAGTTTATTAAGTACAAGATTATTAAAATTGCAAAATTTAAAATCCGATACCTTCATTGACCAACAAAATACAATACGTCTAAATTCTATAGAACCAAAGAAATCTAAAGCAGGAAGATACAGAAAACTAAGTATATCGTTTCTCTTGCAGGCAAAACCTTTTTGCAATTTTAATGTATACAGATGAGTAAGAAGAAATTTTGAGACGTGGAAATTCTTTTAACTTCTGTGTGCCTCTGGGATGCTGGAATTCAAAATTCGTTTCTGTTTGACCCAGATTTTACAGTTCTTACAACATTTAAATGTTTATGTCAAATATGAGGCAAAGCTTGCCTGAACAAACATTTTCTTTTTGACTTACATGTATATGATGTGTAAACCAGTATAATTTAATTTTGGTTATATTCTAGATCCCCTCACTTCCGTTGCTACGGTTGTTATTGAGCGGCTTAATTTGAACTAATAAAAATCAATGAAATTATAGACCCACAGTCGTTTAATAATTTTAAAATTAAATCATAAGGAATGACTCTAATTCTTGGCCAAGTTATTCGAGTATAACCTCATTGAATTTTATTGCTGAAGTCTCTTTGCAATTGACAATTCGTGTAGTGTTTTATCTAATTTCCATTCAAGATTTGAATGCGCTTGAAAGTAAAAATTATCCTTTCTATTCTCTTTTTCAAGATGAAATCTATATATGTATCTTTTGAATGACTTTCACATTTTTATGCCCCACCATGAATATGACCGGGACATATAGTGTTTGTCATATCCGTCTTCTGTCCTTCTGTCTTTTCGTACTTCTGTCCTTCCATCACTCTGTCCTTCCGTCATACTTTGCGTTTAGCTCAGTTTCAAAGACATATTTATCAAACTCCATATGCTTATACATATTGATAAGAGCTATTCAACTGCTTCAACATTTCTAACCTTGACCTTTAATTTCCTTTGACCTTGAACTTACTTTTCTCAATTTTGTGTTCAACTCAGTTCTAAAGAAACAAATCACGATATATTTATCACACCTCAAACATTTTGGTAAGTGTTATTGACCTGCAACATTTTTTTTACCTTTACATTCTCCTTTTGGCTTTTACCCTTCTCTTTTAGCTTGATCTCACATTTATTAAATTTGCATTTAGCTTAGTTTCAAAATAACTATTCAAGATATTTTTTGTAATGATTTTTATTATTTTTATGCACTGATGCATGATTTGGTGAGAATTAATCAACTGTGTCCAAATTCTTTTTATCTTCACCTTCCCCATGACCCTTGACTTTACTATTTATTGTGTTTAAAACTCAGTTTTTAAGAAACTATTCAAGATATTTTTATCAAACCTCATACAATAATACAAATTTTCATATTGTATTACTAATGAGCTCTGGGCGGGATATTCATTTCCTATGGAAATATTTCTTCATTTTATTTTTTTTCCGCATTTATTTAGAAAACTTTGCAAATCTTAATAATAATATAATGTTTTATTAATTTAAAGGACATTTGTGTGACTGACAAATTGAAACATGTGAGGGTTAACATTCATTTTACGAGGTTTGTCCCAAAAAGTCGTAGACACCTTAAAAAAATTTAGTTTCTCTTTGCTAACAAAACTTTCTTTTCTTGCCATATTAGAAAGCAACATTCAATGAATATGAATTTCAAGTTTTGATAATATTTTCACATTTAATAAGAAAATAATTTAAAAATAAAGAAAGCAAGTAAGTGTACGCCGGCGCGCGACAACAAGCCTAATTTTTGTCTCTTACAACTTTCATGAGCATTCTTTTTGAAAATACTGGCCAGTGCGCGCAACACGTCTTGTGGGATTTCTTGATTTTCCAAACATATTGGCAAACCACACTTAAAATGTAGGGGCATTTTTCACCAATGTCCTTCCTGCTCTTGATCAGATTCAAATTTCAGTCCCTTGAGGTTGCCTTAAATTTAAAGAAGCAAGAAATACACATAGTTTAATGTCGAAGGTGGGCCATAATGTTTAACACCGTCTGATTTTGTCAATCATTATCTTTTTCCCAAGGCTTTGATTGTGAAACTGTCTTTAAATTTCATACCATTTATAACCTACTTCTCTGTTAGTGTTCTAGTGTGTTATGTCATTTCTGTCACAAACCATATTCAAAACAATATTTTCAAATCCCCGTGCGCATGGAAGGTTTGACGACGTCATTTGCAGTAAACTCAATTCAGAGTTCGCTTTGAAAATTACGTTACCATTGATTCCTCTGTCTCTAAAGCTATTTACTTTCAAATTTGACACGCTACGCATTTTATCTGATTTAACTGATATTAACTGGTATTTGATATTTTACAAATTATAAGAGAAGCAAATAGAATTGTAAAAATAACATACGTAAATTATCCCAGATTTTGTTCGTGCGCCGACAGACCATATCGGCCTTCTCATAAATCGTCATTATATTATTACTATGAAAAATATTTATTATAAATTCACAATTTTAAGGGATTTTCAATAAATGTTAGCCATGCAAAATTTAGTTAGTATTGCTTGAAATTTTACAAAGTTATAAACATTGTCTACGACTTTTTAAGACAACCCTCGTACTTTAATACGACTTCAGTTATTATTTTCATCATTTTTGAATACAAAGTTTGTATCGTCTGTCCTTAAGTGATATAGCAGCATTTTAAATTCAGTCATTCAGTTCCTAATATCACAGTAAAAAGTACTTGTAAAGTAAAATCAATGATATTCATCTGAATAGTTTCTAATATGAAGTACCACATAATGGTGCGTTGGAATTGATTATTATGAGTATACGTGTGCATAAAATTTAATCTTTTAGTAGTGCCTCTCTAACGTTTATTTTTTCCATAAGAAATCATTAAGGGAATTCAATATCTGGATGTTAGGCATTCTCATGTTATTGCAAGGGACCGTGCATTTTTATTGAGTTTTTGAGGTACTTTGGAAATATTAATAAGGATGTGTGGATTTCAACACTGTTAAAAAAATAAATTGGAAAACAGCTACTAGATCTCGTATAAGAGAATGCTGAAATTTTGTATTTTTATATGTTTTCTTCTAAGTTTCTTCAGGAAATTTTCACATTCCCTTTCTTTTGAAAAACAGCTGACGAGGAGCTTTTCTTTTGACAACACTCTGCCATTGCACTCTTGGTATTACATAAACTTTTTCGAAAGCGTCAGTCAATATGAATGTGCTTTGCACTGTCTAACGCTGAAATCAGAATGTGTAGGAATACTGTACAACGAAGAGTTCTTCTCTTGTAAACTCTTGAAATGTTATCTGAATGAAAGGTCAATAGACAGGACTCTTGCTGATGTAGGATGGCAATTCTGGTTTCAAAATGACGGTAAGTTTCTGCCTATACATGTATTAACATAAATTGACAGTTCATAATTTAAATGTTTCTCAAATGGAGACATATACATGTAATTTAAAAAATCCCTCAAATTATTAATTTGTGTAATAATCTGAAAGTAATAGTATTGTTTCAAGATATAAATTATGTTTATAAAGGACACGATCTTTACGAAATCTGATTGGGTATGTTATATTTTGAGTTGATTAATCGAATTTATTAACCATGACTCATCATTCAAAATGTAAAAGAGGATTTTTAAAGTTCTTTGTTTTTAAAATTAATAGTAAGTCTTATTTCAATCGTGTAATACATTTTCTGTCAGTGTAACAGGCGGCTGTAGTCTTTCATCAGAATTGCTGCTTGTGATAGGAAGGCTAGAATTAAAGATTTACTCGAAGGTTATGGGCATTTAAAATCATTTTCGTTCTATGCATACAGGTCTAGAGTATGATCCTTTTTTAGTTTGCCCTGATGGCTGGTTTCCTTTTGATCACCATTGTTACTTCTTCAACAAAACCATAAATAACTGGAATAATGCAAAGGTAAAATGTTTATACATCCAATATCTTATATACTTTTTCTAAAAATTCGAATTTCTAATTTGTTACTTAATTAAAATCGCTGTAAATCAAATGGTCATGTTGTGTCTATGATTGGTGAATATTACCCATGAAACCTCCTTGTTAATATGGGCCTACAAGAAGTGATGTTCAAAATTATTGAATTTTCATTCTGTTAATTTTAGTATCCTAACATCTCGCCTATCGAGTTTCGTCGAATTTCACACAATCGAACTCTTCAAAATTATAAATCTTATATTTTACCTTCATGCGTAAAGTAATCTTGAAAAATCTTTAGGCACCTTTTACTTTTAATCATTCCTTTTTGATTTTAAACATTTTTTTCTCTTTCGTCACGAAGCTACCATCATTTGTGATGCAGACATAACAAATCTGACGTCAATTCTTAAAAGGGCCGCTACTCTTATTTCAAAAATAAAACATTATGGAAAGTGCTTTCTGTAATAATGATTTCTAATGTGGGCCAAAATGCTCTCCTGAGGTAAATTAAGGATACAGCGATGATAAACTTTTCTCACTAAATTTTTCGAATAAAATGATCTGTCTTTTCTGATAAAATGCCCTTAAGATCAAGATCTAGTAAATGAAAGGAGCCTACAGATTTTTCAAATTTGAGAACTGAATTCCTTTTATGATGCTTTATAACTATAGTTTGGTCAAATAAGGTGTATCGGGGTATAATTTGTAGGTAAACAAGACGAAAACTCATATTTTAAACTGTCATTTTCAATGAAAAATTAAGAAAGTCAGTCATGAATATGGGAGTTTTTGTCATATCAGACAAATGAAATGTATCCAGATTGCCTACAGTCTCTCAGAAAACAGTAATTTGTATGTTCTTAGCCTCTTCTTTGAAATAATGTAAAATTGAATATAGAAACCGGGATTACTTTTTATACGATTTCAAATTGAACGCCATGAAAATACTTTATCTTCTACATAAGTCTATTAGAGTCGCAAAGTACGGGAAAAAGAAAGTTGAAATTGATTATGACGTCATTATGGATCTAGCACCAAAAAGACATTCTAAAGTCATTTACTAGATCTTGACCTTAAATCGTCTTCAATCTACACCATGTGGAAAAAAAATCCATATTGGTTTGACTTGAATGTAATGATTGTATTGAATGAAATGCTGACGTTAATTTAGACTAACCGTTGAAAGCCCTGTAACATCAACTTATTTGTGAATGTCCTGTCTCTGTTTAAAAGTCGATCGTACTTAGAGCACGCTCAAGCGTACTGAATTCGAATAAGCTGGAAGAAAAACACCAAATACATGCGATAATGGAATATTTCTACACAAATACATATAGGAAGTTCGCGATGAAAAAGTCTATTCTGATGAAATCCCATTTGTTATATAACTAAGTTGTTAGTTGGGCATGAACGTTTTTAATCAGTAAACTATTCAAATGTTAAACAAATGAAAAAGAAAGATTAAAACTAGAATGCTTGCTATTCGAATAATAGGACATGTCATTCCCGGAAGAAAGAAACACAAACTGTTGAACTTGTTCGTTGTGTGAAAAGTTTGTCCAACCATTTCATGGCATTGGTTGCCGTCTTCAAAATGTTAAATGTAAATGGGTCATTTTTCAACGGGGGTCAATTTCTTAAATGTTGTACCTGTAGAAAACTGACCCTATGAGTGAGTCTTTTTTTATAAAAAAAAATTACAGAACATCATATGGAGTTGATAATAGCATAATGCTACATATCAAAACAAATGACCCTATAACAATGTCAAATTTACTTATTAAATATAAGAACTGATGCATTTCAATCATTATAGGAACTCTGTGAACAATATGGAGCTCACCTTGTTGAGATAGATACATATGCAGAAAATGTATGGATCATGGAAGCTTTTCTTCCTTCTTGGAATGACGGTAAGATGCTTTTTTGTATACTTAACCAAATAAAAAAAAATCATATTTCTCTTTTCAAATAAATTTGAACCTCTGCAACTTTTTGTTGAATACCTCTAAGCTACTTAAACAATAATATGAGCCTTTTAACCCCAATTATCAACACCTCACTCTTGTTTTATCGAGCTAAATAAATTAAAAAAGTGATTCGCATGCGTTTTTGTAAACCGGTCTAGATTTTGGTCTTAGACCAATTATATTGTATATAGACGTTGCAATGTTGCTTTTAAACAAGGATGTGCATAATCATGTTGTATCGCAGCTATTCGCAAGACCTACACCATAGATCAAAACAGATTTATACTACAAGAAAACAGATTCCCAGCAATTCTTGCCATCCTTCACATGTATAACGTAACATACCTTTTAACGTAGCAAGACGTGTTTGTACCATTGTCATAGATGTAACCAGAAGGAATAGCTGTCTACATGAATTGAAAGCTTTTTTACTTAGACATAAATATCAAAAAGATTTAATAAATGCCGCTATTGAAAGGGTCAAGTCAATACCAACTACAGATCTCCGGAATTCTACTAGACCAGGGGCCAAGGAAAACAATAAAGAAATCCCTCTTGTCGTTACTCGTAATCCTGGGAACCATAATTTATATAACTCCGTGAAACAGAGTTTCCCTATTCTACAAAAATCCGAAAATCTGAAAGAATAAATTTACCTGAATAGCATCATCTATAGCCGATGCCAACCTCAAAACCTGGGGAAAACCCTTACAAGAGCCATATTTCGTCAAATGAAGATATACGCATAGTAACCAAATGTATGAATTCCCTATATGGTATCTGTCCTTATTTAAAAACAGGAGAGAAATTTACATTTAAACGTGGTAAAACCTTTACCGTTAATGCCAATATACCTTGTAAATTTAGAAATTTGATATACTGCATGATTTTTACTGTATGCAGGGAAAACTACATTGGACAGACTCGTACCAAACTAGGTGACCGCATAAGCTTCCATAAACGATGGTGCATACATGTAACACGGATTGATGGCTAAGAAGTTGTAAAAATAAGGATGTCATATTCATAAAATTCTTCCCGAGAACGTTTCATAATGATACAAACTTATATGGATAATTCCCAATATTGTGGAGTCAAATTGTATTAAACCATTATTGTTGCTCGGAGAATTAGAGTACGAAGTTTTTTTGTTTGTTTGTTTTTTTTTTTTTTTTAGAGATACTTAGGATAACTTTCGATTAATATTTTTCTCGAGAACAGAAAACCCTTCACCATAACAGATTCATAAATAAGAAACTGAATAAATGTAAATTCTAATGTTAATTTGATTGCTTGGATTCAGCCAAACACTTGGCCAATCTTGATAAAAAGTCTATAACATTTTAATGTAGAGACCAATTAGAACATAATTGTTCCAAATATATGCGAAATCCTCATTTTCTGTTTGTACTCTTTCGTTGAATAATAGTTATAGAGGCAAGCGGGGTTAATGACATATTTACATACGGGAAAAATATTTAAAACTTCTCAACAATCGTGACAATTGTGTACGGTTAAAATAAGCTAACTTTATGTCCATGCATGGTATTATAAGTTTATCGTCATCTGAGATATTAACTTAAAAATTGTAAAATCTATAACACAGCAAATCTTCAGAAAATCAGAGGAAATTCAAATATCCATATGGTGCGTCTATTGGTGGTACTGATGTCGGAATTAGGTTGATAGATGAAAAAAAATTCTGGTGAGGGGTCATTTATTTGTTTTTATTTTGTAGTCGACTGCTCCAAATGGTGGAAATGTTGCAATTATTGGATTGGGGCAACGGACATCGATAACGAAGGATTTTTTACTTGGAATCGCCTAACCAATGTAACATTTTCAAACTGGTACAAGAATCAGCCTAATAACTCAAATAAAAGAGAACACTGTGTCGAAATTTGCCGAAATGGATTCTGGAATGATGATAACTGCAATAGGAATGATGCATTCATTTGTGAAAAAGAGTTTTAATTCAATCACAGTTTTTGAAAGTTGGGAAAGTGTCAAAATTGTTTAATTGTAGATGTAAATGGGAGTTATGGATTGCTGCACTTTTAACAATTTTATTGGAACGTTTTAGCAAGAACAAATATTACTTGGAGCTTCAGTTAATTTGTAGCAAGTCTCCTCTTCATATATGTAATTTCGATACTCATTTTGGCGGAATTTCAGAGGTAAAGGCGTAATCCTTTATGTTTCCCTAGTTTGATGTTTTGCAATGATACTATAATGTCTAAATGAACCTGTAATTGTACATCATTGAACAAAGCAAGCATGAACGTTTCATTTCAAATCAATTATTGACAAAAAGTCCATGTGTTGTAAAAATGGTATCCTAAATGCAGTTATATCAAACTTATATAACTTACATGCCTAATGAACTTTTGGAAAATTCATAGAAAATCACATAATTCAAAGTTTCATTTGCATGTTGATACAAATTCTACATTATTGCGCTATTTGGTTTTTGTTTTCCTTACATTTACTTTTCTCTATGTTGTTCTAAGCAATGTAAGAATAAACTGAATTTAAAATTAAACTGACTGAACTTTTATAAACTTTTATTCAGAAGTTGTTTTTCTTAATTTCGGCATGTCACTCATTTAAAAGGCATAACTACAAAGTATATTACGTATGTTTTTTGTATGTTAAATAAACATATCGTGAAGAACTGAAACTCTCTATTAATTAGTATTAATTATCTTCTCGTTTTTATTTAGGAAAGCCTTTACTTAACTCCCAAGTTAGCAATTCATTAAGTTGTCTATGAAAAATATTTAAAAACGTAAAATTAAATTTCATGGCGTAACAGCGTAATTTCTTGGTAAAAAGCGGAAGAATTACGCCAAAAGCGGAAAGGTAGGCAGGTCTGAGACCCTCGGGGACTAAAGTCCATCAGCAGAGGCCTCGACTCAGGGGTCAATGTAATGTAATGTAAACCATATACGGTACCAATTTTGATGCACCAGATGCGCATTTCGACAAATTATGTCTCTTCTGTGATGCTCAAGCAAAAACGTTGGAAATCCTAAATATTTGAATAAAAAAGACTTGGAAAAGAGCTGACAAAAGGTGCCAACGATAGGAGCCAAATACGTCGAAGGATCAGAGCTATGCATGAGGGAAATAATCCTTAATTTTGTAATAAAATTCTAAATTTTACCACAGCAATTAAATATATCGTATATCTAGTAACACACTTGTTGACCTTTTAAGATGAGTTTCCGTATCAATATAAATATTACAAAATATAAGGTCATCTCTGTTTTCTCTTTGTATTGATATATCACATTAAATGACCTCTGGTCTCCTTAATGATGGCCTTTTTAATTCAATTAATTTTTTAATTCAAGTAATGTTGACTGTTGCTATGTTCTATCAGGCTGGGGGGCGTAGTTTCATCATTCAGAAGGTTATTATTTTTTATAAACACTTTTTTTTTTAAATTAAAATGCCTGTCACATGAAACCCTTATTAAATTAGATAATGAAAATGTATCACCTCTTTCCTCACATGATATAAAAAGTACAATCCTTAAAAAGTTCATCGCCAATGTATCCCTTTCAAAATAAGGAAAAGATACACATGAACACGATTGATGTTTTTTTTTTCTTCAGTGTACAATGTGAACATTATAAATTAAAGAGGATACACTTATCAAAAAAATGAAATTATCCGAAGATAAAGACTTTTGTATTTAAAGCATTCACAAGTACACGTACAAGTTATGTTTGTGAACGAGAAAAGTGATGTAAACACGGACTTGTATTTCTAACTTGTAATGTACACGTACACGTTGGTCTGCGTAACCTCTCTAAAGAGTGAATAAAGTAAATAAAGTTGTTAAACTACTTTTTTGAAGAAGATATATTGTCTGATGTACTGTTTATGTTCTCATTAGAACTTCAGTCAATTTTGTTTTAATCTTAATAAACTAGAAAGTTATCGTGTTCTCGTTTCGGAATGTTTTCCAGTCTCTACATGCTTTACCATTGATGATTTCTAGAGGCATTGAAAAGTGTACTACCTATATTTCTGTATAATGTCCAAACAGATCTCACGCTAGCTCAATTTAATTTTGCTCTTCAGTTGCGTTGCAACCAGGCCTTACCTTCGACGAAAAGACTGATCTGTAACAAACAATTTGTCGTCCGTTCATATCCGTTGACCCCTTCCTTTTAATTGAACGGAGTATATAAATAATGGCCTAACAATTTGTTCAAATTTTACGCTACGACAGGTTATATTTGCAGACAAGGTCATCTTCACTACCACAAAACTTTACACGAAATAATTGATAAACCTTAACATCAATTTATTCGTCAGAAGCCTTTCTCTGTTTAGAAGGAAAGCCTGATCCGGTGTATAGACGAATAATGACCCCCATAGAAAAATGACCGGGGGTCATTTTTTGCCATCGAAAAATGACCCCCAGTCATTATTCAACGGCGAAAAATGACCCTCGGTCATTATTCGACGTCAAGAAATGACCCTTTTGCCTGTAGAAAAAGTGTCATCACCCTGAAAATTTACCCTACCTGAAGAAAAATGACCCCCGTAGAATAATGACCCCTTATGGATTTAAGTTGAAATTTTAAGGGGACAAAAACAAATCAATCAATCAAGAGACCTATTGGCCAAAATGCTCACCTGAGCTTAATTGGGAATAAATTGACGATATGTTGATCTCATTACATTATACAATTATTGCTATTTTAAGGACAATGCGACAATTCAGAATCTAAATTAGTAAAAGATTTATCGATCCCAAAGGCGAGGTGAACATTGTTTTTCGATGGTGGAAAATCATCGTACTGACAGAAAAAACAGCAATAATTGTTTTATTATATAATTCAACAAATACATCGATACAAACTGATTAAGCAGACATGTCAAGTTTCTTGTTCACATTTGCTCAAGTCCCAGCCAAACAAAGTGAGAGAATCGGAGTTAACATAAGCATAACCAGTATTTATTTTGCATTTGAAATGTATTTAGGTGCAATGTAGGAAATAAATATTAGGCATAACATCGAAAAGGGAAATGGGGCATTATAAGAAGAAAAATGACAAGTTACCTTAGAAATATCTTTGATGAACCCCTCAAAAAGTTTATTGATGTAAGGAGGACTTCCTTTTACTCTACTGTATCAAAAAGTTCGGGGTAGAGCATCCAGACTTGCAAGGAACACTTTCAAGCAAAAAAAAAAATAATGACAATTTACGTTCTTGAAAATGGGAGGGGGAGGACACCCCACCCCGACCCTGATTTTATGCTCCTGAATGTAATGTGCACCTTGTCCACTCAAGTAGGAGAGTTTTTTTAACCATACTGTATAAAAAGGGGGGGGGGTGGTTACAAAACTTTCAATGAACATATTCAAACTAGAAATTGCTAAAATTTACATTCAGAAAAAGTGGGGAGGGGGCAATCTCTTTGTGCCTAAATATGATGTTCACTTGAGTGGAATTTTGATACAGGTGAAAAAACTTTGCAGAATTGTTCTCAGTCTATTTTTAGTTCAATGTAGGAAAAATAAATCCTTATGTTCACCTGGAAGGTCAATAAAATGGTCTGACTTAATGATAAATTGAAAACATATTAATCTACTTCAATATACACAGTATTGAAATGATTCCATATATTGATTTGACAAATGTATCACTGTTTTAAAATAGAGTAAAAAATATTCCTCTTATATGTATGTATCCTTTTCTCAGACGACCATGTTAACAGACTTGAATTTACATTATACTGCGATTCATTTTTATTACTTTTATATATTTGAAAAGAAAAGAAAATTGAATGCATATTATACGATTGTATATATATTTCAGACATGCAGAAATTTTATGTCCTTTTTATGTTTGTCACGTCTGCTTCACATTTTCGTTCTAATGACTATAGACGATGAAGTCCAACTAACAACTAAATTGTCTGAAAAATAGAATGACTTCAGTCTTTTCCATCATCAACTTTCCTTATTTATGCAGTAATATTTCGCTATCATTTGCATATGATGTTAAGGTTTACCATCTCATTCTATACCAAAGAGCACAATTAATTTTTAAAATCGAGGCAGGCTACTGACAGATAAGCCGATGTTACAGGGGTTTCAATAACCTCGCTTAAAGTCAGCATTTCGTAAATTCAATGGTCGTACCAATGTCCGTGTCAACAATTATAACCCTTAATTGGTCAATTTTTTGGCCTTTGTTTTTATACTAAATTCGACAACGGAATGTTCCGTTTACCTGCTTTTTTCATAGGGCTCACGGCGGATGAGAGGGATGCTTACTCTTTCTAGGCCCCTTATCCCACCTCTGCAATCTTCGGGGGTCCTTTTTATACCCTGTTAACAGAATTGTATTGTTTATGGATATTTTAAATCATTAATGTTCGCTATCTCCACCTTTTATTCCATTGGGAAATGCATCCATAGTATGTTGTTCGCACGAGTTATTTGCGATACATATTCTACATCATTTCCACGATGCGGGTCAATTCCGGGTTCGTCCAGTGTTGGTCAAAAGGACATAAAAAATTAAACATTTAGGTTCAAACCTTGGTATCAATCACCTGTAATAATTTTTGCGTCACTCTTTTGGAAAAGGGGTCAGTTTCCAACGGGGTCAATTTTTTATAGGACACACATATAAAAAAAAAAATGACCCCTAGGGCTCTTTTTTACAAAAAATGAATTTTTTCTACGGCTGGGGGGTCATTTTTTGTCGTTGAAAAATGACCCCCCGGTCATTATTCGATGGGGGTCATTATTCGTCTTTACACCGGCCTTCACTACCGGTCACGGTTCGCTTCGTGTTCGGGAGGCCCGAGTTCGATTCTTGTTAGCATCACCGCATCAACCCTAAGACATAAACATAGGTAGTGACTGTTCATTTGCTATGCGCCAGGCACTAGAAGTGAAAGTCACGGGTCTTTCGGATAAGACTTTAAAACACTAGTCTAGGTTCCGTATCACGGTACGATAAGAACCCTCTATCACTGCTAGCACTAAATGGCCCTGACTGCATAGTATAGGTCTAAATTTAAAGTCCTTCACTGGTGACTTCTTTACATGAGTGAAAAATTCTCGAATAAGACGTAAATCAACATACAATCAATCAATCGGTACATTCAGTGCTTTTATTGATAAAGAAGAGAGAAAATGTTTCAATACTGTTCATGCATTACTACATGTAGTACGGACGAGGGGTGATCAAAAAGTTGGCGAACTATCTCCACAATTCAGATCACAATTAAATTTGGCACACAAATAGTCTTTAACATGTTCAATAAATAGCAGAT